CTGATGTGAATCTGCGCAATCGCCTCTCCATTCTAATTTCTCTTCATTCATGGCCTGTCGTTTATTTGCAACATTAATCCAACATTCACTTTCTGAGAGATGTACTATTTTTTTATCATTTATATTATACTCGACCAACACAGAATCGTTTTATCTCTCAGGTAAATCCACTCGGACCTGCCTACTTACTTGTAACAAGAAAGAACCTGTTTACTTTCGGTATTCATTGAGTACACCGCGAAATAACGTATATATGTCGCCTGACTTGATACTCTATCGGGATCAACGAGTTTTCGAATCTTGTGGATATAACACGAGCAAACAGATCTTCCAGAAGACAGGAGACACGAGTCGCATGACGTCACTGAATTCTCGCCCTGTCACGGGGCGGCCGCCCCCTCATCGTCCCCCTCTACCAGGTCGCGGGGTGCCACGGGGATTCGCCACTTCGCGGACTTGCAGACTGACGTCAATGGGAGCCAGCCTACAACGAACTTACGCGATTTTACGAAACCCTCGCGATCTCTCCCGGCCAGTTGGATCGACCGTAACACAGGAGAGGCGAAAAACATTAGCTTTCCCTCTTCGGAAAAGGCGTGGATATGACGTAAACCGGAAATTTCGCCGATATCGCGTGCTATCTGTTTTCTTTTTTCGTCAGGTTTTATCATCCGGTGCCAGCTGTGCGAGCCCGACGAGAGAATGAAGAGGCAACACGAATAATAAAAGAAAATAGTAGAAATTCTCTTGCGTAAAAAGTACTTGACTCGCTTTTAGCTGTAGCGAAAAAGTAAATATCACTGAGGGAAAAAATATTATTTTCTTTTCTCGTCGGAACAAAAAAAACAAAGTACTGCAAAGTACCATCTGTAATCTTTTTTACATTTGTTGTAGCTTTTAACGCGCTAGACTGAAATGTGACGGTTTAATTAACATTTATAATTTATCTCTTTAGTATTTATGTAATAAGTTTATATTAAATATATGTTTTCTATTCATGATATTTTTTACTCGTTTAAATTCCAATTCATGAATGGTAGAGTATCGCGAACGATCGGCCGACATTTACAGCAGGAGAAGGGAAAACCAAACGACATGAATGTGAAAGTAACGTAGCTCGTAAATCATCACGAAACTGCCGGTGATAGTAATGAGATTCTCCAAGCGCATCATTTATTTACGTGAGAGAAAGAGAAAGATTATTATATTTTAAGGCTTAAAGATATGATATCCTATAATAATACTATATAAGTTAATGAAAAACAGAGAGAGAGAGTCGCAGAGGAAACATTATATTAACATGTAACAAATTTAATTAAAATGTATTCGTGAATGACAGGTAAATATGTTGATACACATATTCACAAATACGTATTAAAGACAGTTTATACATTATTTTCGAATACATTTCGACTAACACTTTAAAACTTAAAGAGAATGTCACTGATAAAACATTCATAGCAATTCTTGTTTCTAGTACTCTTTCTTGTCAAGTCTATGATCTCTACTCGACAAATATACCAGGATCATTTGAGAATTAAATTTCACTATATTATCACCGTGAAAAGTGACGCAACATTTAAAAAAGTATGATGCACAGTGTTTTTTAGCTCTTTAAAAAAGTATTCTTTTATGTATATTTATTGAATCTTCTTTCAGGAGTTGAATTTCTCATTTAGTTCTAAAGTAATGTCCTTTCATTTGATTATAGCCTACAAAGGAAGAGACAGTTGGAGTAGACACGTGTTCCTATTTCTTCGCGATTGAAACACCCCTTGTGGACTCCTGTAATTTATCGGAGGTGCCGGCTGCACCTGTCCCTGTAGTTGGATACGCGCGCCAATTTGCGCAAGCGTGTTGCAGCAGCAGCGACGACAACGACGACGACGACGACGACGACGACGTCACGAAAATAGGTCAATTAAGGTGCGAAGGTGGGCATTGCGGAGTATCGAGAGACGTGTCGCAGCTTTTTAACCGTGCGGCGAAGTAAACGACTTGGTCTGGAAGAGTAGAGCCGCCCTGATAACGGCGCGACGACTGCTCGTTAGAGGGTAACCATCGCCGGAACGCTCTTCTCCGATCGTCGTTCGAGATTGCCGAGGAATTGCGCGAGCATGATCGCGCACGCTTTAGGCAGATACGAACGAAATAGCCAGCCGTCCATTAGTATTCATTGCGCCCGTCATTTGCGTCGATGACGATCGATGGCCCGCGATAAATTGCGACTGTTGAATCCGGCAGAGACGATTTTAGTTCACGAGGGCGGATACCGCCGCTGATTAATCTGATATGCTGTTTCTCTGCTCGATTTATCCCTCCGAAATTGTGTCGTGTGTTATTATCCGACGAGCACTGCCAGAAATAAAATCTCAAGCGAGCGAGTTTATTTTATGCTGTCAGGGTATTTGGATTAAGCATGCAGATCGAATTACACCGAATAATATGATCGTGTATCGTCCAGATGAATATCGTCCCTCAAAGTAGACATTATTTACTACATGCGCGAAAATAGTCTATCGTCTATAGTCTCTCCATGTCAGTTTTCGTTGTCCATTAAGGAGTTGCTAGAAGAGTACTTATCCGTTGATGTTATCGAACGTGATATTACTTAAGTGCAGCGACGTCACCCGTAGAAACGTTAGACGTATTCTAAGAATCGCCTTTATTGCAAGACGTCTCTCTATAAAACGGCGATTTCCCGGTTGTAGTCTCTCGTATCGGTCTTTTTGCACAAAATAACAGACGTTCTTATAGTTTTGTTCTTATAGTTTCATTCAAAAATAATATTTTCGTCGTGATAAGAAAGCGAATAAGGGAAGTTAATAAAAATAAAAGTGCCAAGATCTTTTCGCAGCGTCACGCGAGGGAAAGAATCGTACTAGTATTTTATCCGACTACGGCTTAATTTATATAAGAGCACTGTAAAGTGTATTTGTAAAAAGTCACTGTCTGAAATATTTGTGACTCTTATTATTCTCGTATTTCTACGCTAAAAATAACTCTGGGAAAGTGGTCTTCGATTTGTCCGTAATATAGGAGACTCTGCGATGTAGAGAACGTCGAGCCTCCCCGTTTAGTGAGAGACGTGGGAAAATATCCCTCCCCGCTCCCTCTCGAGCTCTTCTGCCGATTTTTCTCGCAATTCTGGGCACGGAGGAAAAGCGCGCGCGTGGACGCGTAACGTCCTCACGTGGGCGTACGGCCTGTTGCGGGGGCTGAAGCTGGGTGATTGGGGATGAATAGCGTAGGAAGATCGCAGGCCGGGAAATCTTTTCTCGCTGTGCTTTCTGCAAAATGTATGTATGTCGTTGAAGCGGTGCTGACGCTTTGTGTGCTGAAGCCGTTTTTGCTAGATTTTCATTCTAAAGCTGGCCATTCATAGCCTGCGAGATGTAAACGTGGAGAGCCTGTGGGTATAAAACATGTCGGGCGGTTTAGAAACAAGGGTGACGAATGTGTGAATTAAGAAATTAAGTAGACAGACGTGCCTTGCCTTTGTTGGCTTTTGTTGTGCGAAATTTTGGACTGTTGGCGCGCCGACCATATCGATTCTCGGAATTTCACGCTCACGCGAGGGTGATGAAATTTGGATAAGTCGGGACGGTGACAGTATCGAGACATTCATATTGAGAAGATAAACACATGAGAAGGGAAGATAGATTGAAAAGTCAGACAGTGTGTTCTGGCTACAAAAATATACACGCTTTATACACTTCTTCAAGTATACGCTGCTATAGACTGAAGTGAGCACTTGTAACGTCACCGTTTCAAATGTCAAAGAAAACTACCCGTATGACGTTTGCATAGCGGTCGTATTAAAATTAAAGGCAGTCAGGTAACATCGTCATAGTCGGTCGTCATATGACGCAGTGGGGTTGCTACGCCGTATAGGAGCTTTAACTTTCTATTAATTCCTCCAAGAGAGTCCAAGCATATGCGCTGGGTTTCATGCAGCAGACCTATGCTAACAATAGCGAAATGTTGGTCAGGTGTTTTGCACTTGGTCTTTTTCCCCGCGCTTTAATTTCATTTAAAGAATTGAACACTTTCGATTCTGTTTCATTTTCACGTGTAATATCGAATTCTAGAAACTCATGACGGGAGTCGTGACTGGCGAGAACGTCGGCGAGTAGTTTCCAATATGAGCGACGCAAATAGTTGGATACTCTGTAACTCGCTTGCAACTCCTTTGTAACTTCTCTATTCCGTCGAAGTGTAGCTCCACGCCGTTCCGCGGAATAACAAGCTGTAATAACGTAGATCGCCGCGTGTTAGATTTCAATCAAGGATAAGCAAGAGATCGTAAACAGACTTATGGCTTTTATCAAAGAGAACTGTCGTTTGGATTACAAAAGGGTTATATCGGGTTATAAAAGTACGATCGTCTCTACCATGCGAACGCACCGAATAATATCCTGTTGTCGTGTTACACTACAGAAAAAAGTCTCCGTACATTCTTCATACGAGATTCGACGGATACCGCGAAAAATTTATCAGCGTCTTGACGTCATCCGGTGAGACGTAAATCTCCCCGTGATCGTTTCATCGTGTCATTGCAGATGCCGGACACCGTTCTCGTGTCGGGAATTCAAAACCGATGACACCCGATAGCAGCTACAAGATATAACGCAAACTCCGTGCCAGCTTCGATAACGCCGGCTGACAGGCCGTCGACAGCAAAATAACAACATCGTGCCTCACAAACCACACACCACCCTCACGCTACCATCTTAAGAAGTCAGGATACGTCGGCAAGATGTAGTTAGGTCATCGCGTGGGCAGACATCCCTTATATACCACGACAAGATCGTGTGTATGCGTGTGCACGCGCGCGCACACCATACACGCAGACGCATATGCATGCATATACTCATGTACGCGCACACACGAACGCTGTAACATTGTATGCGAGGAAACGCAGCGCGCGCGCAGCCAACAGCGTCGTCATAGGGTGCCCACCGAGCCAGTCGAGATGGGGAATGTTCGTTCACAAGGTGGGGGTGGTTGATCGACCGTACCCACCGTCGCTTTTCTACTCGTCCTGCTGAGCCCCGACATTCATTCCACCCCGAGCCGGCGGATCCGCTAGGACGTGGCCGTTCTCCACCTCACAGCCAGCAGAGCGAAGGACCACCGAGAGACCGTTGAAGCGAAAGCGAAGGGACGAGCATCCGTACATCGAGCGAAGGACGAACACAGGCGGTCGCCGTGACTGGAAAGGTGATGATACATTCGCAACGTGTATTCACTGTGCTTGATTTTGTCCGATAGCCCGATAGATAAAATTGAACGTCGAAATTCGAGTGTACGATAGACGTTGCTACGGATTCGTTTCACCGCCCGTTACATATCACCGGCTACTTTTGACCAGCGCATTCATACAGGTAGTCGCGCGGCCTAGAATTAAACATGTCGTGTTAAGCGCGTCCGAGCAATGCTTCTCACTGGTTCTTGCGTGTTTTTTTTTTCGGACCGGCCGTTCTCACCGGAATTGATGTAATGTGTCTGTGTCGCTAAGTCTCTTGGAAATGATAATAGTACTCGTCTGCTGTTTATTATTAAATTGAAATTAATTATCAACAAGAGGGCGTGGCATGAACGTTAGACACGCACTTGACTTGTCAATGAAGACGCATTCAATGAAATGCATTTTTAATTGCGACTCGCTTAGCCGTGTTGTAGATCGTATACAACACGCCGATAAATGACTATAGTATTTATAGACGCAACAAGTGTACGATTTCTAGGTCTACTATATCCGGTTTAACGTACGTACTCGGCTCGCTTTAATTGTCAAAACTTTGCCTTTCATTTCGGACATAGACGGATGTCAATATCGGCTATAATTCCCGAGCATTTGCTAGCACCGACCGTTTAATTGAGGAAGAGAGAGAGAGGATACGCGTCACTCTGACAACAATGAAATTATCGCGAGACCGATTAATTTCAACGGCTATTTTAGAACATTTTACAAATATATAATGGCATTTACAATTAAAAAATAGACATATATCAATATTTGCGTAAATATATGCAAAGAGATCGACCGTCGAGATCGATCGTTTCTTTTATGTTAAATTGAAAAAAATATTGCAAATTTTATCGATACTTGGCGATTTAAATTCTGATCACGTGACGCGAAATTAAATTTCTGTATCCTTTAAAAAGAAAACTACTGCAATGTTTGCATAATCGACATCGCAATATTAATCAGTACTATTTGAAAATACGATCGAACTGTATTCGCGTTGCGTAACACGAAGCATTTGTTATGCGAAATTGCGAGAAACACAATAACCGAATATGTCGCAGTCGTACTGTGTAAATACGCAGTCGCGCAAATATATTTCGTTCTGTGCACAATTTTGAACCCTGACATTTCGGAGCGGCACAGCCCGCGCTCTCGTTACCCTCTGTAGCCTCATTTCCAGCATCACCGTTCGAGTTCACATTATTGAGCATTTTAATTTTCAAACGGCCCCGTGTAATTCGTTAACAAGTATCCAATTGAAAGCAATTTAAGCGTGAACTCGATCGTGCATCACGCGGAAACTTGTCGTTTAGCAAGATAAGACAATATATATATATATTATCTACTAATGAAAAGAAAAATATCGAAGCGCGACAGATAAAAATTTTAACACACGTTATACTGAAAGTTGGCTAACCTTTTAAAAATCTTGATAAAATTATCTCATTTATCTTACATCCACATTTGCCACGGCATACATTTTTATCTAACTTTATACTACATTGCGTGTGAAAATTACTTGCGAATGTCACACTACACGTTTAAACAGCGCTCGATAAAAGCGCTTTTTCAAGTTATACTTCTATGACGTAGCACTTGTAAACTCTTATATCTACGTCATGTAGCTGTGTAGCGTCATAGTCGGAGAAAGTAAACCACACATCGATTATAATGCGGTGACGTCGTTAGCTGCGGTAGCGTCATAGTTAAAGAAATTGTATCGTCGATTATAGAACCTCTTGCGCACCGTCAATCTCTCTCTTTCTCTCTCTCTCTCTCTCTCTCTCTCTCTCTCTCCTTTTCCTCTTTCAACGTAACATTTTATGTAACCGTAAAACAACACGAGCGAGCTCTCATTGAACGAGTTACCCTCATCAATCTTTCACACAGCGCGGAAATAGACTCATGACATTTCGCATCATGCGACATTTAAGCTTCTCTCTCTTTCTCTTCTTCTCACAGTGAGTGACCCGCTAGCTTCAATTGCCTGCATATTCGAAACAAGCACGAACTAAGTGCGTGCGCATGCGAAAAAAGTATCTTGCGAGCTTTTGACTATTAAAACGACGCGCAATCAAACTCAAGAATGGATCGGAAGTGAAAATTCCGTAATTTTGTCGCAGATGATGTACAACTGGGCGTGGTTGCTATTGCTGTTCTCGTTGGTCTCGATAGGCATATCCTTGCCTACGAGCCTGATGGATGATGTGAAGAAAACAGATCAAGCCATGAAGCCGAAATGTAAGTCTTCTGATTATTTCTTTCATGTTTGACGTTTGTCTTCAACGCGTCGCATTGTGTTATTTTTGTAGCAAAACGAGCGCAGGAGATGCTGATGTTCGGTAATCAACAGAATCGACAGGCCAACGCTGCTGAATCCTTCACGTCAAACGCAGAGAAACGTGAGTAGATTTCCGTAGATAAAGTTAGTCAAATGTATTATACAAAGACTACTCTGGAACGCACATTTGTATGCATATGCGTAGGAACTCTGGCTTCCTCGGGGTTGGTAGGCTTAAAAGCGGCCCTTGTCGAGGACGATAAACCATCTCAATCCAAACAGCCCAGCAATTCCATGTACGAGCATGAGACTTACTCGCCATACGACAGGAATTATGAGTAAGCTCGGTTCTTCCAACGATAAATTTCTCGAGACTCTTGATATCTCGAGTCATATTACGACTTCGATTTAAGGGAGAATATACATTTCTTTGTGTTACAATAATTTATAAATTGAAACTACTCAGGTTCATCACGTTGTAATTGTATTATGTATCGTCATATTAAGAAATACTTTCCTGTTATCTTCAAAATACAGCAAAAGTGGGAGTTTTCAGCAGATTTAAGCGATCTATCCTATCAAATAGTGAGTTAAATAAATTCCAGTGAAGGACCAGAGTCTTAACCTTCCTTCATACAATTTTCACTAATTTCGCCGTATTTTTCTTATTATTTTTTCGTTTCATACGAGTCCAGTCGAACGACTGTCCAGTCGACGAATTTCGTACGATAAAGTCTGACGAAATTAACGATGCTGTTCCAGTTACGGTAAGGTTCTCGTGAACGAGGTCGAGGAGGATGGGCCGCGCGTATGGGACGTACTACCGCCGTACTCTCGTTATTACTCGAGCGAGGATCGGCGTAAGAGATCGGACAAGTCCACGGTGACGGTACGGCCGGCCACCACGTTGCAGCCTCCTAGCAGCTCGTTCCAAGTACCAACGCCTACCCAGCAACCGGTGCAGGCTCAAGTTAAGAGGAGGTAAGGCAGAGGCGTCCCACTTCCCCTAATACCGAAATCTATAGCTGGCCGTGATCGATAGCCGCGGGGGCAACTGTTATTAGATCGCCGTCAGTAATGAGATATCAGGACAAAATATCGGGGACAGCGCGGATAAATTTTATAACAATTCCACTTATACGTAGTATAGATGGTGGAAACGTCGGCGCGACGCGACATTTGGCACAAGGTCCTTACACAGAACTCACCTATAGCGGTTGGAAATTGACTCGCCGAAATCGTACCGATTCCAATCCGTCGTAGTCGATAATGCAATGTCAGGAGAATCGAGGGCGCGCGGAATGAATTTTGCACGGACTTAATTTTCCCTCCCTTCTCCCGCGGTACACACCGAGAATCGCCTCGGTATGTCCGTCTTTAATATGCACGATTGAATTCATCGGAGACTCAGCACGTAAAGTGGATCGACTGGGTGTACCTCCGCGGCTATATATCACCGTGCGCCCTTTCCGTCCTTTCCACCCACCCGCCTGCAAGCATTCCTCTTTTCCTCGGGCGTTTCTTCTGAATGGGGATGAGAGGGCCGGTGAGGGCGTTGCCCTCGGTGCAGGAACGGCGGTCGACTTGACGACCAAGTCGTATCGAACCGCTTGGAGAGAGAAAGAGAGAAAGAGAGAGAGAGAGAGAGAGAGAGAGAGAAAGAGAGAGAGGTTGTCGTCATCGAGGATTATCAGTAGCGTATGCTCGACTGGTATCGTTCTCTCCAAGCAGCCGAATATAATTATCGAGTTTCTCGTGTCTCGTGCTCGATATCATCTTCATAAACGACAAATCAGCCGACAAATATCGGCGTTTATTCTTTAAAAAGATCTGTGGGCATTTAAATTGATTTAAGGCATACGAGTTGATTAATGGCTTCGATCGTTCATATCCTTGACACGCGTGAAAAGAAGTTTCACGTTACTTAATAACGCGACGCTTTTCTATTTAGGTATCGTGCGAGGTGCGCGAGATGAAAAATCGCTTTCACGGAAAGTGCAGCGGATTTATCGAGAGCTGAATCTAATTTCAGGAAATCGCGTGAACACGAACGCTCGATACCGAAGCCGTAAAAGCGCGCGCTTCGCACGGAATTGCCTCTAAGGCCGGTGTAAAATTAAACATACACGGGACTTTCATCGAGCGGACATTATTAGCGCTTTAAAGTTAGCCGTCGCCGATCAGTTATTTTTACACGAAAAATGTGCGGGAATGCATCGCCTGACCTGCAAATGTCACAGGTCGCTCTGCGACTGGAGTAAGGACGGTTAATTTTTCCACGATGAAATTCTTAATAACGCTTCCATTATACTGGACGCGATTACATAATGTTTTATCTTTGCATCGCCCGGCACCGTAATAGCGAGGAGCTCTCCGCGAGCCCGATAAAGAGCTCTGGATATATTTTCACGTGGAATCACGTGTTGCGCAATGTCGAGGAGATCGCGCTGAATTTCTCATCGTTATCCCCCCATCTGGCGTAAATTCCGCCTGTTCCACACAGTTAATGACCGTCTCATTATAACTTGCTCGAGTATCTCGTTATTTCATTTAACTCGCCGGAAGCTCCTCATCCGCGATCCTCGACATTTTACAGCACAAAGAGAAAGGTTCACTCCAAGTTGGATAGAGGGAAGTTAACGCTGCTATCACAGAGTCGGGGGGATTTTAACGTAGCGCGGCGGCCTCTTCGTAACCACCTCGAAACGAAAATCTCTCGTTCTGATAAGCAAAGCAAGAGGAAGAAAAAATCGCTATTGTTCTCGCGAATTAATTACCCGTGTCGCATCGCTTCCTGCACCCTCCGGTACCCTTGCACCCTCGATATCACGAAGAGAGATCGTACTAGCGTGCGGAGCGAAATAAGCATAGAGGAGAGAACGGTTCTACAGAGACGCGTGCACCTGTACATACAACATTGTGACACACGGATGTGATCACACACATACACAGAGGCAGAGAATTTGGTGCAGTGCACGAGTCGCTCGATACGCGTGACGCAGGTGGTACTGGGGGTGGCGGAGGTGGTAGTAGTGGTAGTGGAAGTGGAGGTGGTGGCGGTGGTGGCGGCAGTGGCGGTGGCGGTAGTAGTGTTAGTGATAGCGGTGATGATTGTGATGGTGGAGAGTATCCATGAGCTCACGAAAAGCTGAATGGAACTGGAAGGCGGAAACTAGGTCAGAGCTTGATTGTTTGGCATATCTCCAGCCAATCAGCTGACAACCGCCGGAGCTCGGGCACTTTATCGACGATATTTCCGGACACGACGATACGCAAGCTGCCATTCCACCACTCTAAGTAATATAACAATCCGCTGACGCATTAAACAAATACCACTCGTCCGCGTTCGAGGGTCTGATGGACGGCTTGGAATCTCGCTGATGTACAATACGATAGATAATCCAATTGAAAGAATTTTAGAAGCAATTCCGCTCGAAAAATTTCTCCCTGTGTTTCGTAACATTTTATCTTCTCTTTTATCTCACAATATAATTTTTTTGTTCGTTGTTCCAGCTTTGACTAGTTCTAAATTAAACGATGAGTCAGTTTTTTTATCATTTGATACAAAAGTTTTCCAATGGACAAAGCGTCAGAGCGACCTACTAATGTCTTGCAGTAAAGAGATCGAACATAAGTTAAATCAGCTCCTATAGAATGATGAACAAGGCCGAGACTGTCGATGGTCCCAAGAGCAACATTTAGGACAAACGGTTTAGAGAGAGAGAGAGCGCCTTTACTACGCGCTGATAAACCCCGGGAAAGATTGAATGAGAGTATTTTGCTGGAGATTTGGGCGTATCGTCCACCAATCAGCTGATAGTTTAGTCGCCGCTCGTGCGTCATATCGATCATCCTACGCTTTGCCACCCCCGAATGTAGTATATTTAACCCTCGAGTGTAGTATATCGAACGGGTCACAGCTGGAAGATGCTGCTTCGTCGATTGCGGCAGGAGGTGTCGCAATTCAAGGACCGCGATATTGTTCGCGCACTCGCTATTGTGTCGATAGGCGGTCGCTGAATGCAGCTATCGTGAGACTCACGTTCACAAAGGGTAGTTCTCGCGACAGCGAGACAAAGTATCCCTCGTTCGTTAGCGCCAAAGAACAAGAATGGTCGGCGGACAATGCAGAAAGCTAGATATAGGGATGTTCGAGTGACGATCGCCGGTGGGTCGGTCGTTTTACGTCACGAATAAGCACCGATCAATCTTAAAATATAGACGTTGCGCAAACACGACGGCAATAATGAATTCAGTGAGAGATTCCGAAAGGAGATTGCGCGGCATCGATCTAAACGTATGAGCGTCGCGGGAAAACGATTCAAGTTTCTGCAATTGCGATTACATCTTGCCTCATTTCTCCTTGACACGTTTAATATCATTATGACGCGTGACTTATGTGCGCGATTCAAATACTCAAATATGAAAATAATGTTTTCCATTTTCAGCGTGCCGTACTATCAGGAGCCGCGATACAAGCGAGAATTGCCGTTGGACATTGATCCTGATGACGTGTTCACTCTTCTGTCACTGTGGGAAAACGAGCGGCGTAACGGGTAATGATCAGCACGTTTACATTTTCTTACACTGAAACTCTCCGCTCTCTTCAGATATATGTGCATCTGGCATTCTTCTTCTTTCTATTCCTTCTGTAGCAACTGGCGCAAATACGCTAACGAGGAATATGAGAACATGGTGGACGATGGCGGGCTGCTCGACGAAGAAGACGCTAGAAACGGTTCGTATGATCGTATAACGGTTCTGCAGTTGATATGTGATAATAGTTCTCCTGAACTTTCTATGATACAGAGATAAAATGTTCCAGTGAAGCTCAAGTTCCCAGTTTAATACGACCTGATCTGTTTAGTTCTTCCGTGGATAGATGCGCCGATCTATCAATCGCGTCATTATACTGCTGACACATTGTCGCCTTCTGACATTGGAATCGTACGGACCCACCCGCCCGGTTATTACGAGCAGTACGGTAATCAGTTGGAGCAACAGTACGGCGGTCCGCAGTACGGCAGTTCACAGTACGGCAATACGCAGTACGGCTTCCTCAACCTTTATCCTCAACGTGCCTACTATCCTCAGGAGAAAAGGTTCATGATGTCTAAAAAGCGTGCACAGGTGAGTCAGACTGCACAGTCTGGCTTGTACTCTTTGAAACAATTCTCGGGGGTAGCTTACGCAAACAAATGATAACAGTACAAATTCTCAAAGCATTAGATTGTTGCAAAAGATTTGTCATTTCTCTACTAAATTTTCGTAGGAAGTTTGGGTATTAAAAGGAAAACAAAAAATCTTCGTTAGATGACCAAAAAAATACAGAGTTAATGTAGTTTATTTTACTTTTAACAATTATTATGTCTTCGAAATTGAATGATTTCGTCTTCTGTTTTATTTGACAAATCTTTTTGCATCAATTGTTCTCAACCAAACGTCATAAAAGCTGACATGTTGACAGATTTAAAGAGATTATTGTTTCATAAATATAAGTTTTCTTTACAGTAAGTATTCTCCTTTTTCTCAGAGCTACGATCCCTATTCGGCCGCTCAGATGCAGCTAGGCTCCCAACCGCGAAGTTACCAGTACCCTCACCGCGTGGTCTATTAAATTTGCAACGCGGAGCACGTCTGGAGGATGGCGGCGAAACTGAAAATATCTCGTTCACAAAGATTCTACTGGAAAAGGAAAATAACCAGTTGACGACGCATTTCCGAGAGCCATTCGGCGTTTTCTTTCGACGAATTGCTGTCGCTCCTCTTCAGCTATTCTCCCTTTCTCGCAGAAGATGAAAAAGAAATAAGGAACGGCGCGCTCGGACGCAACACGGCGAGCGAGACGGTTTTACTCGTTCTAAGAAACACGGTGCTCATACAGAGAGAAGCTTTCCTCGAGTCGCAAGAGCCGCGCTGAAGAACCAGGAGATCAGGAAGTCGATTTGTAAGAAACTTTCCTGCCTCAAAACTCAGAAGTACCTCGAAATACATATTCAAAGTGACAAATTCGTACTTAGGATACGTTTTATCTCGTAATGAAAATTATCAGATGACAATGAAGGCGAATACAATCTGTGAGGGCACCCTCCTCCCCTGTTTAGAATGCATTTTACGAGACAGTGTGCAAACATATCAGAGTCCACGACTCAATACGAAACGATTTGCTGTGCCGTTTAAACAAGAATTTATGAGCAGGCGATTAATTTGACGACTTCCCAATCGCGGTGACGAAAACGAAATATAAAAGAAGCTTCAGCGCGCTCTTGTTACTTGCTCGCTTAATAATGTAATGTTACGATTTTAAGCTCCTTTTGCGTGTAACGCGGGCAACGCGCCCGTAATGACGCTACGACTGAATCATTAAAACAATCGTAGTATCGAATCAAATTACCCTCAGGCTTGATTTTATGCCTTCGTGACTGATATATGATATATACATATATGTATGTATATATGTATGAAGTGATAGTTTCGTTCATGAATTAGCATGAGACTAGATGTAGGACTGTTCGTCTATTAGATAATTCGGACGCGGCAAGTTGAGCGGAATCGGAGATACAGAGAAAACGAAGGCGAGAAATATTTAAGAAATGTTCGATGTATATGTAAAAGAGATAAGAAGCATAGGAAAAATCAAATGAGACTCATTCTGCGCGATAAATTTCACCTCGACATTGTTTCTACGACGGGCTAACAATAGAACGTTGGAAATTTCTTCTTAAATTTTTCTGGTTACGTCAAATGCAGGCGAAGTGTCAAAAATTATGTATAAAGGAATGTCAACGTTAGAGAGAAAGAAAGAGAAAAAATATAAATCGAACCGTCGTCGAGTTACACTCATCAGTTTTAGGAAACAAGGAAACAGATGAATCGCAAGTGTAATGTAATACCAGACAAGTTCTCGTAAAGTTTTCTTCGAACCAAACACGGCCTTCCATATTCAACACTCCGAGGAGACTGAACATCTCTATAATTAATTAATTAATCTAGTTGTATTCGTTGTATGCGCGCCTTATTGAGCGACGTATACTTTTGTTCCTCACCAATTTACGATGAATTATTACTACTACAGAGTGCCTCAACGTTTCTTGCGCTGCTTATTTCGAAAATGTCTTCAGCTAATTGTGAACCGATTCACTCTGATTGGTTCTTTTAATTAAATATCCTCGTGACTAGTCAAGATCTCATTGAAGTGTACAAAATGGAAACCTGAAGCACTCTGTAAAGATAACCGAATACTCGATTACCACAGTGAGGAACTTTATAATGTTCATAATTTTATTTTCTACATTTACCTTTTGTTTAGCGTAGTTAGGTTTAGCTAATAGTAATATATAAGTTTCATCAGGAACATTCAGTATTCGCTATGTGCAATTAATGTTATATACTGGACAGACGGTAATTACTACTGTTGTAAATGAAAGAAAATCAGCCAATTGTAGCTTTACTCTTCTCGAATTATCTCGCAACGACGCACGATCAATGTTCAAAGCAAGTTTTGCCGAAAGTGTGTATTTTTGTTACGTATCGCAGCAGAAAAGGCAGCAGCATGCCGTTTAATACACGTACATAATTTTCCACACGTAATTTCCCTGTTTACACGTTTCTGCGTCTCTTCCTGTTATTAATAGTATTTGCGCGCCAATATTATATACATATATATACATATATAAACATATTACATTATATTAAGATTCCAAAGAAAGCGGATCCTTTTTTTTATACCGATGAGCTTCGATTATTTTTCAATCACAGATTTAGTGGCGATTTTGATTTTGTCTATAAAGAATTGTGTAAATTGAAAATAATGTACACTGTCCAAATAAGAGAGATGTCTAAAATGGAAAAAACATGTTTTTTCTTCTGGAAAACACAAGATCCTCGCGTATGCATCCTTTAAACGTTCTCATATATGAATTTACCCAATGAATATAATTGTTAATCGAATATAATGATAATTTAATATACATACCTTTCTATATCGATGAATATTTATTCGTATCCATTGCATGAAACCAGTGAGCTCTTCTTACGTCAAAAATAAAATAGACATTTATTCGACTCGAAAAGAATTAAATGTGGGAACTATCAATGAATATATTTTACTGTGTGTAGACGTATTTAAATTTTAAAATCAGAAGTAAGCCAGTAAGAGGAACTTGAAACGCTAATGGTAAGTTCGTGCGCGCATCATTCTTAATAGAAATTAGCGAAGTTGTATTTTTTATCGTTAAATAACTTGTAAACTATTGGGCTTAAACCATACACGTCTTACAAATTTTCTACGCAGAATTGAATGATTTTTTAGAATCTACTATAAAAAGTAGCATTTTCTATTAAAAAAAAAAAAGTTGATCTCTATATGATATTGATGAATGATCGTAATTCAAGATCATCATCCTTTTCCTCTCGAAAATCTTATAAATTTTATCTGAACCATTTCTGTCTGTCGAGTTCAGAGTTTTCGAAATATTCGGCTGATTTGTTTAAAATAGAACACCCTTCGATGACATTCGAATCAGTTGTTGGAATTCTTTTGTTAGTTATCTTTTAATTTGATCTATAGCGTATATTCGTTTAACAATGTGAAGACTTATTCGGCTTTTGTTATAGATAGATAAAAATAAACTTTTAACAACTATTAATTTCTCAATCACCATGTACGACTTTGGTCAAGCGTTATGGAATATTGAAGTATCATCGTCGAGATGGTGCCTTTGGTTTCTCTAAGGACAAATATTTATACTTGGGACAATATCATCTTGTATTTATATATATATACACACATAAACGCACACACACATATATATATATATATATACACACACATATATATGTATACATGTACACACACACACACATACATACATATATATGTGTGTGCGCGTGTGTATATAAACATTGAAAACGATTTAAACGCGATCGCAACGTGGATTGAACATTTAAGAACTTGTTATTCTAATCTGTGGATTCTATAAAATATACAGAACTCGCATTGCAATTTCGGAAATATATACACATGTAATAATCATGAAGAAAAAATAAATCTGGGAAAACTGTTTTACTGGGATAATTGTAAGTTGTAAAACTGTATTTGTTATTTATTCTTTTTTGTATGTATTCTTTTATTCTTTTTGCTATGTATTCTTTTTCAACTTTCAGATACAATAATCAGACGTTTCCGTTTGCGATCGCGAGCGTTATCTGCCACATCGACGAACTCTGAAACAAACTTTACAAAGGAATTTTACAAGGCGGTACCTCTATCTGCGGCGAAATTACAGCGAAACTCCGCAGACTTTTGGTCTCTCACATCGGGACGAACGAAGAAAGGGATGGCAAGATTTGCGGAGGACGAAAGCAGCACAGCACTCGATGCAAATCGAAACAAAGTATTACCACTTGACGAAATTCACTTGGACTCTTGGCCACGCACAAAGAAAATGTCGTGAATACTCGCTCGACGACAACGGGGCCACTATGTCTCTTTCGATTTCAGTTCTCTCTTCGATACTATCGTTCCAAGGCGCACAATTTTGTACTCGATATGTCGCAGGCAACACAACTATGTTACATTTCGCTTTTGTTTCTTAGAACGGTACGACAATTTCGAATAGCTCGCTTGATCGGGATCAACTCGAAAGTTAATTCGTGACTTTAAAACTGCTTCTCCCTGAATGTTCACAACCACAAAGAACACTAACATCACCAACGGCCGTCTCTTTTCTCACGGGCGATAATTTAACGAACTAGAGATACGACGGCTTTTCTTCCGTTCCTTCGACATCAGGGAGATAATTATTAGCTAGCACAAGTACACTCTCGAAATCTTTTACGGATCTATACTCGACGTTTCCGATTGTTCTCGGATTGTCATTGCTAAAACGATAAATCACAACAGCACTATATATTGCACGAGAAACTTCACTTTAACTTTAACATGAGGCAAAACCCAAACTCTATACCGAGTACAAAACTCTTCGGAATCGAGAGCAGTCTAATCATTATTATTTCCTGTCTCCACATGCATACGTACATTTTAATTGAGAAGAGCCGCGATCACGCCGATCTCTTGTACCGGTTTCGCGTTGAACAAACGTCTGATTTTCTTTTTATTTATCGACGACCTTAATTTGTATTCAATCGAGTCTTATACTTTGAATTTTAAACTCTTCTCAGACATCGCGAGCAACAAATATTTACTGTGGAATGTGCATCACTGTAACATTACCGAGATTCCATGTTCTCTCGACTTTTGGTAGGTGATGAACGGTTCTAAGAAAATTGACACAATATTTTGAGATTTTTCTCTGCATAAACTGCATCTATTTTTCTGTTCGAACACTAAGCGTACTTAACCACTTCACCTTCAATCGTGTTCAAGTACGGAAGAGATCCTTCTCTACTCCTTCCAGAATGAATATTAAAATATATATCCTGGACATAGTTGAAGTGCTCTCCGTACTCGAACACGGAACACAATCACTTCGTCGTTTACATCACTATACACATGTCGAGAGTTTATCTTTCTTTTCTCGTCTGTTTTATTTTTTATTTTACTTTTTTTTTTAATACCACCAAGCACTGTCCTTTGAATGATCAGTTCCTCACTTAAACAGAAAGTGGATAGCAAGCTTCTGTCGAGATTACGAAAACACAGATGTGATAAACTCGGTTTTACGATAAACGGAATCTCAGTTTCTTCCTGGATCTTATTCATTTTTCAATCACTACCTTCACTCTCAAGCACAGTTTAAACTTTTGAAACTGATCAAAACTATTCACGGATTTCTTACAGCACAATCACTTAAGTATTATGTCACACAAAAGAAATCTACAGAAATACAAGTTGAAAAGTAGTCAATCTTACAATCATTTTCGCATATCAAATATACTTCTTTTCCTAACCCAGATCTTTCACATTTTTGTTCAATTTTTATGAAAACTATATATAATTATAAATAATTACAATTATATATATATATATATATATATATATATATATATATATAT